CCCCCCTCCCCCACAGAGAAAACACTGTTAGTTAATGTTCGGATGCTCCTTATTTTTCCATTCCCATAAAGAACATGAATATTTAGTGGCGTCAAAGATTGTAATAGATTGGAATTTCTGACATGAACGGCCTATGCTACAAGTCTGTCCACAATTACGCGCCCAACTTTGAAAAAGAATACTATCTTTGCAACCCCTCAATAAATCATAATAGTCATATGAAAATAATGTTAAAACATACACAGGGGCCTACTCAAACGAAATTCCTTTTGATATAGCATATTTGCGCAATACAAGGAATAGCCAAATGATCTTAAACAAACTATTTAATGTTTGTAAATTGTAAGACTTGAACAACAATAAAGTGTTAAATGTAAGTACATTTTATTGAATAGAAAAAGGGTGTTCGTGCCAATGGTGTCAACAGCGTGTAAAACTAAGCATATGCAACCTAGAGTGCGTCTAAACACACTCCCGAAAACACATTTTACCTGGTGTGCCAAACTTCCAACACTGCGTGTCAAAAAGAATTCACATACTTTCACTTAATAGATCTAGATCTTGAGATATAAAGAAGAATATACTAAAAATTGAACTATTTTATACACATTCAATTGTACGAAATCTTTGGATAAGTAAAATAAAGGAAAGCTATGCTTAGCATTTCCCGCAAAGTAAGACCAAACAATTATCAAGACATTGCTGTTCAAAACTGGGCACATAATAATAATATACTTGTGGACAGAGTGAAGTAGTCCTGCTACTGTACTACTGCCATTATTACCGCTACTGAAGCTCTTCAGGAAAGTTTTAACCTAGAATCTCAGAGATAGTATGCGAACGCATAGGTTTTAAACGCTTCTTACTCCACCTCTCCTCCACCTCCCCCCGTCCTCCACGCCTCTTGCTCCTTCAGCCCTCTCTCCCAGTTCTGTCGAGGAAGCAGCGTTCCCTGTGAGTGCTCAGGGACTAGGTGAGCCCTCACACTGACACCACGCCAAACAGATCACACAGCGCGGTGAGTGAGTTCACTTGCACGGCTGGCCTAAAAAAATCCGCTTATGAAAGACGAAGACTCAGAATGCATGGCACGCGATAATGTTTTGCGTTCACCGCGAAACAGATGGTTAGAAAGTGTCTGTTTTCCAACCCATTTGCTGTTAATCTTACATTTATTATTTTATTTTTAAAGACCTAGTATGGCCTTCAAGATGTTTGATCGTGTGGTGCATATTTGAGTGTTCACTGTAGGTGTTGATTCTATTTCTCTTAATGTCACGTTTTTGAGTGTTTGTTTAACAGGAAAAGTCATATAGAAAGGGCATTACGTAAGCCGAAGGCTCAAAAGCAGGCTGTTGAGTTCCAATTTTTGTCTGGCATTTATCACTTTTAACAGAGAAAAGAATTACCAAAGTCGAAAGCCCCCCCCCCCTCTATCTCTTACATCCCAGAACATGAAGAATAAAACCAAATCACACCCTTGCACAACAGCAGGCAATTTAAACGAGAGATTTTTGAGATTTTCAAAAAAAGCCCAAACAAAACTCTTTCTGATTAGCTAAAGAGGCAGACCAGATTGATTTCATGACGTGTTTTTAAAAAGGCGAGATGTGTTCATTTTCTAACCTCGGGTTTCTTCTTACTTTTGAACTTATTCGAAAAAAGATTCTGATTGGAATGGACTAGCAGATATTTCCATTGGAAAAGTTTAAGAAACAAAGTGCTGAAAATCTCTGAGGACCCTGTGCAGTTTTTCATATGGACTCACCCAAATTGGCCCAAAGTGAGGTAAGTCAGCTTACAGCTCTTGGAAGGATGTTTAAAAATAAAGGATTGTAAAGACTGAGCAGCTGTTGTTTCCTTTCTAGTCCTTCACCTATTCTTTTTCAACCTCCCTATTTTCCTTTCTCCTTGTTCTTTGACTTCTACAGGACCTTGAATATTATGCATCCCCGTTTTCCACAAAATCAACAGGCACGCAATCTTCCTTCCGAGGAAAGTAATAATATATAATAATAGATAACGTTTGTAGAGCGCATATCCCCGCGCGACAGCACACTCCATGCGCTTAACACTAGATCTATAATTAATATTATTATCCCATCAGACCCTAGAGCACTCAGAAACATTCTCGGCTTCCCGGGAAAGATGCAGTGCAAGTAGCTGAATTAAGCTCTCAAACACTAAAATAATAGAGTTTCGCTGTCTATAGCCGGGTATCCATTCCTACCTGAGTGAAGGGAGGAAAATTCGTAGTGCCTTTTTCAAGAACACAACCTCGGGCCGCTGACGGGATTTGAACCCACGCCCTTACGGTTGCGAGCCTGAGACCCTAACCACTAGGTCACCGACGCCACGAGTACAGGTAACAGCAAATTACAAAGTAAAAATAGGAAACAAAACAACCCCGCCACACCCGAATCCTTGAATCCCGAGAGCCACCACTATAAAAAAGAACGACAGGAAAACAACAATAAATACGGCACAAACACAGAACATAAGCCAAAGAAAACAACAAATTGGAAAAAGGGCAAAAATTATTGAACCCTGGTACGTCAGCATCTGGAGAAAAAAGAATATTGAAAGTCGTTCTCAGATAAGGGGAAAGAAAAATTGCAGACATGGTTAAAGGGGTCCATCCATAGGGCACAGCAGAACAAGATGTGATGCGTTTGGGCAGGTCGATGAAAAGGGCTGGTGCAAGCTCTATACGTTAAGTGGTTCTTACCTCAGACAGCAGACTTTAAAGGTTTGAATTTGCTCCCAGCACTCAAGACTCTTTGTTTATGTTAAATCAATCAACAAAAAAGCGCTAATCTTGTCAACAGAGCAGAAAACATTAATTGTACTCTTAACTATAAGTAAAATAAAAATCCAAATAAAAACAATTCCTCGACAAAACCGCTCGTATTTAGTCATCCTTTCCTTCAACAAAATTAATGTAAGAAAGGATTTACTAACTCCCCCATTCAAACTCCAACAAGGGCCTCCACAACACCCCCACCCCTACACAAACACACACACACATACACACACACACACACACACACACACACACACACACACACACACACACACACACACACACACGCGCGCGCGCGCGCACACACGCACACACACACACACACACCGCGTAACGTACATATCTTGACTGCCTTGAAGACAGCATAAGAAAAAAAGACAAACATAAACAAAGTAACAGCAGCAGCAGCAGCAACGATGACGGCTACAGCAAAACAGCAACAACAACAACAACAACAACAACAACAACAACAACAACAACAACAACAACACCAACAACAACAACAAACAACAACAACGGCAAACAACAACAACAACAACAACAACAACAACAACAACAACAAGAACAGGAAAACACTTTGAAAAAAAGGAAAGGAGCCAGGCAGAGAAGCAATCAAACTGTGGCAATACGACAGTCTGGTGGTTATACGGCATCTTTCCAGATGTCTTCATTCCTTCTAAGCACCTGCTTTTCTTGTCGAAATCCCACGATTCTTTAGCTCGAAACAACCATTGTTTTCATGCACTTATAGTCATCACCAACAAAGCACGCTCAGAGGCAAAATTTAGAATAAGAGGAAAATAGAAAAGATAACTAAAGACTCACTGTAAATCTGAAACTTTGACACTTGCTGTGATCACAAGCTAAGTCATATTATGCTCAGCTGTGATATTTCCACTACTCTTTATCTCCCGTTGTCATATTTGGAACCTTAAGGAATTGGGGGTAATTCACTAAATGCACGCACAAAGATGTGTTGTAACCTATCTAATGATGAAATTGCGCCGATTAATTCCTTAGCTCATACGTACTTGAGCGATATTTGCTTCGCCGTGTATTTATTTTCACATTTTCTGCCTTCCTGTTCCTTTTTATTATCTTCACCAGGCCTTGTCTTCGAAAAGGGTCTCTTGGTGTCTAGATCTAGTAGGACATTAACCATAAATCGGCGTATGTGGTGCAGCGGTAGGCGCTTCGTCGTCGCACGCTGAAGACACGAGTTGGGAGAATTTTTATCGGGTATCTCGGTCTTTCTACTGAGATATTATTGTATTCCTCTCAGCCCGGGTTGGACCTGATAGGAAGGGTTGAAGCCACCATCTAAATGGTTTAAATTGTGACGACGGGGGCGTAAAACCACTTACATTAACACACACAAAAAAGCTAAAGTAGATAAAATGTCTTGGAAGACAACCCTTGGCTGAACTCCACCGCAAACTCGCGAACACATCTCGTGAAATGTAACTATACTTTATAACTCTTTTCTTTATACGCCTCGTATTTCAGAAACTCCACAGGCCCATAAGGTGATCAAACGGTATCAATTCCTGGGACAACAAATGTCAAAGTGCCCAGACACAGCAGCGGTTTGATTTCGGGAAAGCCAGTCTTTGTCTCACGCTACCTTTTTTGCCTTTGACAAAGCCCGAGGAGACCAGGAGATAATGATAGTCTGCTGTTCCACCTACAAGGGGAAACTACTTGTCTATTTGTGGGGTGCAAAGAGTTTATAAAGGGTGCCATTTACATACCATAAATTCTCTATCGCAGGGGTGGTGGCATCTTTTCTGTGAACTGTTATTTTGTCAAGTTCTTTTTTTTCGTGCAGATCTGCCCACCGAAGTCCAAACCCAGAAAAAATAGACCCCTGAAACCTGAAACGTCACACAATGTAGCTTTATTCGAAATGACAAATTTATGTTGAGCAGGTTGTTTAACAAAAAAAAAAAAAAAACAAGAAACAAAATAGGAAAAAGACACCCCCTCCCCAGCAAAACTGTCCTTAACAGGACGAGGAAGGGTTTATTTCCGAAAAAAAGGCGTTATTATTCTTCATCTGTTTAGGTGGATCCTTAGATTGAAGGTTTTAATTATTGAGATTACAGTTTTTAAACTAGATCTAGTCTTTATTATCATATTGGCCTTTAGCGGGGTGCCCACGTATCTCACTGCCGTCTTACCCATCGCCACCATTATGTCAGTGCTAGATGAAAATGTGAAGTGACTGAGCTTAAAACCATTTTCTGTTTATTGAACTCCCACTTCTCGAAAGTAATAGTGGTTCAAATGTTTATTAGACCGTTAGATCCAGTTATAAGTGACAGAAAAAGTAATTAGCCGGTACTCTCCCGAAATCTATTCATTATGCAGTGAAGGCCATCTACCTAATTCTAGTGCGGTCAAACATTTGTGGCGCATCTTATTGTCAATTTTTTCTAAACTACTTGACATAAACTTTTCAGCTTTGTCACATTGATTTGTATCAATTTGTCTTAAATGGTGATTTTTTTTGTAAACACCTGTTAGATGTTTTATATGTTCAAGATTTGAGAATCTTTAGTGCAAAAAAGTGTTCACTCTAAAATTAATTTATTGTAGTAGATTTTGCCATTAAAGTAAAAAGAGTCATTGGTTAGCAGTGACGAATACAATATGCGTATGCAAAATGTGAATGAGAAGCGGGAAGTGCTGTGAACGATCCCATTTTCCGCGTGATGGAGATGTGTTGTTTAAAAAAAAATCTAGCCTCATTTGTTAAGGAAAACTATTGAGTTAAGACAAACTGATACAAAATGATGTGCAAAGTATAAGTGATATTGATTCCCCCGTTGAAGAGGTATTTCAGGATAAGCTGCACTACGAATTATTAACCGCACTGCAGAAATCTTTTCCAAATACCAACTTTATAATAGAGGGTGTGTTATGAGCTGTGCACTCTGTATAGCTTTACTCGAAACAGACTAATGAACTGTCGTGTACGGAAAACAGCACTTCGAGAATGTTGATTCAAAGAAAAGACCCCAGAACTTGACCTGGTTCATTTTAAAGTAATTGTACATCACTAATTCGGCACGTCCATGTTTCAATTTTTACAGAAAACCACTGCAAATGAGAGCGAATAAAAAAAAATGCAAGAAGCCTGTTTTCCTTGGAATCTGATTAGCAAATGTTTCATTGGGGCCTGCTTTAATCAATATGTATTTGCGAATATTGTGCAATTAATCGAGCATTGAGGATGACATTTTTTATCCATAACAAGCACGACGCTATAGATCGGTTGCTTCTGACTCGGAACGCTTTCCAGATTTCAGTGAGCAGGCCTGCCAGGACATTTTGTGAAAAAGTCTGTCTGTTTTTGGCCTTGCTTGTGATCTGATACTAAACTCTCTTTTTCTTTGACCTATTCTTATATGTCTGCTTTTTGTCTTCAGTTTCGATGTATTTCCCGTTGTATTTTGGAGTATTTCATTTAGCGTGTTTTAGCAAATAAATGGTGTCTCTGGATTAATCGATTTTACATGTAATTTTAATCAAATAATCGTTTAATATTTTGGCAATCCTCTACACGCCAAGGAGATGCCACCAAGTGGTAGGGGTGGGCCTACATTAAATGCCCCAAGAATCCGCAGAGCTGTGCGCTCTTTTGTAAAACGCGAAAGAGAGGCATTATAAAAGTTATTTAGCAGATTCCAAGTTATCGACGCTATCTCCCCTTGCTCAAGTTCCTCCTTAAATGCAATTTGGGAGAGAAACAGATTGGGGGGGGGGGGGGGGGGAGGCAGGAGGGGAGTGAGGGAGAGAGAAAAGTATAAGAGAGAGAGGGAGAGAGAGATAGAGAGATAGAGAGAGAGGGAGAGATAGAGATAGAGAGAGAGAGAGTGGAGAGAGTGGAGAGAGTGGAGAGTGGAGAGGGTGTGTGTGAATGTTTGACAAATAAATAGACAGATAGACAGATAGACAGACTGATAGACAGATAAAAAGATAG